GGAGTAGGAGGTGTAGCTTTGGGAGAGACAGGAGCTGTAGTGGACATCTTCCTTGGAGTAGGAGGTGTAGCTTTGGGAGAGACAGGAGCTGTAGTGGACATCTTCCTTGGAGTAGGAGGTGTAGTTTTAGGTTCTTCCTGGACAGCTGAGGTTATTAATGTAGATGCAGAACTAAGAATAGACGAACCAAAACCAAACATCTTCCCAGTGACAGATTCACCAGATTTTGCTGCTGTAGCTTGTGTTTTAGGAGCACCAAAGCCAAAGAAACCTCCAGAGTCCTGTTTAGTTGGTTGACCTGGTGTAGGCGATTTGGCAGGTTGAGTTAATGTTGAGGGTTGTTGAGGTAGCTTACCAACATCTTGTTTTGTAAGACCTGGCTTTACTGCTGGCATTGTACTTGGAGAAATCTGCACGTTTTGCTGTTTTTCAGCTGTTTTCTGCTGATCTGTCACAGATGTTGCTTGCTCCTGTTTAGTAGCCAACACCGCTTGTGCCTTTTGCGCAGCATCTTTCTGAAGTGAAACCATCTTGTCAGCTGCAGACGATACTGAGGCCTTATCTTCCAAGGTTTCTTCTTTGTTCAGAGCTGCTGGAGTGTCCTCTTTATGGATATGTATGTATTGTGTAGGCTTTTCCTTCTGCTGGGACAACTTGCTTGGTGAGGGCTCTTGTCTTAGAGCAGGAAGACCTGCAGACTCAGGTGCTCCCAGGGCTCTCTGCATCTGGCAGTTTAGACAAAGCCATTCCTTTACCTAAAAGTGCAATAAAATTAAACATATGAGAGGACAATTTCAACACAGTGCTTTAACAGACACATATAGCAAGTATTATTTAACAAATAAATTACTTTAACATAAAATAAAGTGGGGTTTTGTTCTCATCGCCAATACGTTAATGTAGAGAACAAAGTCAAAATGTCACATGAATTTGTTTTCAACAAATAATCTATTCAAACGCTTCCTAAAATTGTTAGGAATAAAAAGTTAATTATGTGTAACTGTTTTTATAGAAGTAAAAATACTTTTAGACAAAACAATGACAAAATTCTCAACATTATGACCGATGCATGCCAGAATACATTTTCAAATACTACTAAAATGATAAGCAAATGTGTTAAAATCTCATTTAAATTTAGTGCTAAAATAAATTAAAGCAATTACAGCAAAAATAATTCTTGAATACCTCTGATGTAGTAGGCATTGCGTCAAAGCCACACTGAACACAGACTGTGGTCTTGCATTCTGTGCAAGTCTTGTAGTTGAGTGGATCTGTGGAGCCCATGGTGAGTTTGACCTTACAGAGTGGACAGACTGACTCGACTGCTTTCGAAACATCTTTGGCTTTTATTGGTAGTTTTGGGAGCTCTGATTGGGGCTTGCTCACTTTGGATTGTTCTGATGAATGAATCTTATCCTGCTCCAGTTTCTCTGGTTTCCTTTTCTCGTCGTTCTGCACAGCAGGTGGTTTGGTGTCCTTTGCAGGTATTGTTTTAGGAGAAGCTGGTGGTGTCATCTCAGGAGTGGCTTTGTCTGTAGCGTACATCTTACGTGGAGCTGGTGGTGTACTCTTAGATTCGTCTTGCACAGCTGAAGATATCAAAGTGGATGCAGAGCTTAAGAAAGACGAACCAAAGCCAAACATCTTCCCCGTCACAGACTCTGCAGATTTGGCTGTAGTAGGTGGTGTTTTGGGTCGGCCAAAGCCAAAGAAACTCCCCGACTCTTGTTTTGCAGGATGAACTTGTGGTGGAACAGATTTAGCTGGAGAGGTTCCAGTTTTTGGATGCTGTTTTAATGATGGCTTTTCTTCTTTTAGGCCTTGTGAAGGAACCGATTTTTCCGATGCAGCAATCTCTTTAGGAGGCTTTTGTAGTGGTGGCTCTACAGCTTTTGTTTCTGGCGGAAGAACAGGCTTAGAAGGAGTTGGACCCTTTTCTGTCTCTTTCTGTGATACATCGGTTTGTCCTTTAGGCATTTCAGAGGGTGGCTTTTGTAAGGCTGGTGAAATGTCTATCTTTGTAACAGTGGAAGAAACAGCTTTGTCAGGCAATGGAGCAACTGTAGGTGTAAACTCCTTTGATGGTACAGCAGAGATAGAAGTTTCTTTGGCTTTAATAATGTTATCAAGCTCATTACTAGGTGTGACTGGCTTAGAAATGTCTTGTGTTGAATCTGTAATTGAAGTTTCTTTCTTCTGTATTGTGGCAGGGACCTCTTTGCTTGGTGAAGGCTGTGGTTTTATCATAGGGAGGCCTGGAGGCTCAGAAGCTCCTAGTGCTCTCTGCATTTGACAGTTAAGACACAACCACTCTTTTGCCTGAAAAACAGACACAAAACAAAACTAAGTCATTATTTTATAATAAGAACTTTTTTTATTCTATTCATAGCATCCCTTAAATATATTTTGCAAACAAACAGCACAACTGGATGCCTTTCCAAGAAATTAATAGTGCATGACAAAACAAATCGAACTACAGTAATCCCTCGCTACTTCAAGGTTTATTTTTCGTGGACTTGCTCTATCACAGTTTTTCATAATAAGATTGGACATGACACACAATTGGCTGATTGATGGATGATCCGTACAATCAGCATGAAATTTTTGTTTAATAAAATATTTAAAACTATTTAGCACTTATGTGCAGCCCACAGCTTCAGAAGAAGCTTCCTCCTGCACCAGTGTGCAGCCCAAGCTGCAGGAGAAGCTTCCTCTTGCAGCTGATCAACTGCCCTCTGCTGTGCAGTGGAGAAGTGGGCGTGGCCAAGAGCATTGGCAGGTGGCAGAGAGCAGTGGAGGCAGGGAGCTGAAATCATGACATTCTGTACTCTTTTGAAGTGTTTAGAGTTTAGAAACATTGTTTAGAATATTGCAAGAGTGCAGGAAGGATGACTTAATATATACAGTATAAAATAAACTACTACTTACTACTTGTAGGCCTAACACTATTCAAGGTTTTTCACTTATTGCGGGGTTTCAGGGTCGGATCCCCCACAATTAATGAGGGACTACTGCATATTATAACAATTGCACTTTTGTCAGTTTAACTGTGATAACTTCACAACAGAGTTATTGTGTAGTATGTTTACCTTGTCTAAAAATAAATAAATACATATGAAAATAAAGAAACGATAAACTACTAGGTTCTATTCTGTAGTTAAAGATGTTCTGCTTTCTATATGGGGCAAGTCCTCAATGAAGAAACTTCTTCAAGTACAGCCTGTCAACAAGGAAGATGGCCGGCAATGGAGGAGGGGGCGTACCAAAGAGACCATCTTATCACAAGCAGAACTGGTTTGTTCCACTTCGGAGTAAGCTGTTGGGGGAAGAATCAGTTGTGTTGTGTGTTTCCTTGACTGATGAAGCCTTCTGGACCGAAGGCAAAACGTTTCAGCACAAAAAAAAAGAAACTGTCCAGATGACCTGACTGAAAAATGTTGGATTGTATACCTGGGTTATTGAGCATGGACTTTGTTCTCTTCAACTACAGAATAGAAGTCCAGTAAGTTTTTTTATATATATTTTTTGCAATGTCATGGGTGAATGAGAATCTACATCTATGCACATACAGTATATAAATACCTTAGTAATGTTAGGAATCGGACTAAATCCACACTTGTTGCAGACAACGTTTTTACAGTCTGTGCAGGCGTTGAAGTTAGGAGGATCTTTAGAGTCCATGTTAAGCTCCAACTTACAGAGTGGACAAGTAGATCCACCCACTTTAGGTGCATCTTTGGAAGTCTCAGATTTTGCTGATTCTTGTGGATCTACACCAATTTTGTTCTGTTTTAATGAAGGAACCTCATGATCTGGAGGCTTGTATGGTGCCTTTTCTGGTTGGGTGTTTTGCAGCTGATTCTGTTCAACCTCCTTTGATGAAGGGCCCAAGACTTGAGAGGAGGGTTTCACGACATGAACTGCAGATTTTTCAGTTTCTTCAACATTCTCCTCTTTCTTTTCAGGAATCACTTTAGATGGTTCGGACTGTACTGGAGTTTTCTTCAGAACTAGACTTTCACTACCTGTGGTCACAGGAGGAGTTTCAGCAGGAATTGATTTTGCCAGGTTTGAAACAGCAGGTTCTGTCTTTTTGCTCTGAAGTGCAGAGGAAGTTGGAACATTCCCAGCAGGTGGTAAACTAGGCCTTTCTTCTTTTGTTGGGCCTGAAACATCAGCTGTTTGTAAAATATCATTTTTTTTTTGTGCTTCACCATGTGTTACATTATCCCTCAGAGTTTTGTCTATTTTTCCAGCTTTTTCTGTGGGAATGGCATTTTTGTTTTGATTAGTAGGGACATGTTTTTGAGAAGAAGCTGGGGAGGACACTTTGCTAGGTGATGCCTGAGGTTTCATAATTGGAGGCTGCTCTGATGCGGCAGCTTCAAGAGCTCTTTGCATCTGACAAGTCAGACACAACCACTCTTTTATCTGTAGACAACATAAAACATTGTACATTTTGAGGTTTGTTAGACACTGAAAGAAACGAGTAGAGCAGAGTACATTGACTGTACGATGTGTATGGGATGTCAATTGTTAGTACAGTTCAACATCAGTTAATATGCCTACACATTATACTTAGTATGTTGAATAAAAAGAACATTAAAATAAATAATTGTGTTAATCTCACTTACCTCTGACTGATTTGGCATAGGATTAAATCCACACTGATTACAGACTGTGTTCTTGCACTGAGTGCATGTACTGTAGTTGGGTGGATCTTTGGACCCCATGTTAAGTTCAGATTTGCAAAGTGGACAAGAGGACTGGCCTGGTTTGACAGCAGATTGGGAGACTTCCATCATCTTTGTAGGCTCAGGTGGAGCTTTGTCCACTTTGGTGTGTGTCACATCCGTTGTCTTGGTTTGATCAAGCTCTGGTTTCTTCATTTCTTGGTCAGCATGAGATTTGATCTCTCTTGCAGGGGATATTTTAGGAGAAACCGGTGGAGTAGTCTTGGGCTGATCCTGAATGGCTGAAGTAATCAAATTAGATGCAGAGCTGAAAATAGAGGAACCAAAGCCAAACATTTTTCCATTTGCAGACTCTGCTGACTTGTCCACTTCAGGCTGAGTTTTACCACCACCTAAACCAAAAAAACCTCCTGAATCTTTCTGTGATACTGCAGTAGCATTACTTTGCTTGCGTTCAGTCTGTCTTGTTTGGCCAGGTGATCTATCTGGACTTGATATTTTCTGTGGCTCTTGTGCTTTTATCTGAGCAGGAACTGGGCTGACTTGCTTCTGAACAACTGACTTGTTAGCAGTCTCAGATATTTCTGGCTGTGCTGTTGCAGACATTTTCCTTTGAGGTGACTGTGGCGCTAGCAGTTCTTTTTTCCCAGCCCTGTCTGTGCTAGAGATATCTGTCTTTTGGGATTTTGTAGACGTCTGAGATTTGAGAGAAGCCACTTCTGAGGTGTCAGTCACTTGCAGGGCCCGCTGCATCTGGCAGGTAAGACATAACCATTCCTTAACCTGAACAAATAAGCAAAATAATTGTTTGATTAAACTCTGTTGGATAATGGTGTGTATAATTACCATCTTATGTTACAAATGTCAATGTCAAAATTAATCTTTTACAGCTGGTCAAGGGTCACATGAAATTCAAGTGTTTTTTCTTACCACCGTTTCATTTGGCCTGGGGTTGAATCCACATTGGTTACACACGGTGTTCTTGCATTGAGTGCAGTTATTGTAGTTGGGTGGATCCTTGGAGCCCATGTTAAGTTTGCACTTACATAGTGGACAGGTGGATTGGTCTGGTTTGACCGTTGTTTGAGGACCAGCTTTTGGCTTTGAAGTTTCTGATGGCGTTTTGTCCACTTTAGGTTGTAGTGATGGAGATGTTTTTGTCTCTAATGATGGCTTCTGTGGCTCATGCTTCTGGGAGGCAGGAGATTTGATTTCATCTGGTTTCAGCATTACTGATGGTTCACCATCTGCTTGTTGACGTTGATCTGGTTTATTCTCCTGTTCTACTTTCTGTGGAGTGGACAATTTAGATTCCCTTGAAGGAGACATTTTGGGGGACATCTTGGGAGAAACCGGTGGAGTTGTATTCAGTTGATCTCGAACAGCTGACATCATAGAAGAGGCAGAGCTAAACATGGAAGAACTAAATCCCAACATCTTCCCACTCACTGAATCTGCTGTCTTTGTTGCTTCAGGGTGAGATTTAGAATCACTGACACCAAATAAGCCTCCTGACTCTCGCTGTACTGCAGGAGTAGTGTTGCTCAATTTGAGTTCAGGTTGACTTGGCTGATCAGGCGGCTTCTTTTGAATTGCTTTCATTTTTTCTTCTGGTGGTTTTTGATCTATGGTTTGTTTAAGTGAAGCAGCATCAGCTTCAGATTGTTTTATCTGGGGGGAGATGACCTTAGAGAGCTCCTTTGTTTGTTCCACAGAGTCTGGACCATCCTTCATTTGAGGAGCAATCAGTTTGGAATCCTTTGGCTGAGCAGGAGCAGATATGGGAAGTTTACTGGGTAATGTTTGGGCCTTTAAATTTGGAGGTCCCAGAGGGTCAGAGGTTCCAACTACTCTGTTCATCTGACAAGTAAGACAAAGCCACTCTTTGACCTAAAATTTGAAAGACAGAGTGTGTTAATTCAGGATTAGGTATTAGAGAAATTAAAAAGAAAAAGAACCAGAGAAAAACTCCTAAAACTCCCCAAAAGGTCAGATGATTAATATATTTATGAAAACAAATGTCTTAAACTGTGATGTCAGTTATGAAGTAAAAAAAAAGATTTCTAAGTCTCAGAAGATGTGATACTGTTCTTACCTCTCCAACAGGCATGGGGTTAAATCCACACTGGTTACAAACAGTGGTCTTGCATTTGGTGCAGATGTTGTAGTTAGGAGGGTGTTTTGAGCCAATGTTCATCTCAACCTTACACAGTGGACAGGTGGTCTGGTCTACATCTGGACCAGTTTGAGAGACTTTTGGTGGCTGTGGTGAAACATTGCCATCTTTGCTTGGGGGAAACTCATCAGATTGCTTCTCCAGCTCTGGTTTCTGAGCAAGAGTTTTTCTCTCCCTTGCTGGTGATATTTTAGGAGAAGCTGCAGGTGAACTTTTTGGAGAAAGGTTCGACAGAACAGACATCTTACGAGAGCCTGGTGGTGTACTCTGTGAATCGTCCTGAACAGCAGCCGATATCAAACTGGATGCTGAGCTGAAAATGGAGGAACCAAATCCAAACATCTTTCCGCTCAGTGACTCGGTTGTTTTTGAAACATCTGGTTCTGCATTAGAACCACTATGGGATTTTTCAGATTCATACTGTACATCTGTAACCTTTCTATGTTCAAGCTGATTTGGCTGGTCAGTCTGTTTCTGTGTTTTCTGACTAACAGTCAGGACAGATTTAGTTTCACCTTGTGGTTCTGTACCAGCTTTAGTTCCAGGCGTTAGTGCTACACTGTGGGTCTTCTGAGGAGAACCTGGTGTGAGGATCCCCTTCTTTACAACTGAAACAGGTACCGGGACTTCTGTTTTTGCTTCAGATTTGAATAATTCTTTCTTTTGATTTTCCTCTTCAGTGGGAGCTATTTTCTGACGTATAGAAGATGGAGATGTTTTGTTAGCTGCGCTTTGTGGTTTCATGGGAGGCCCTGTGAGTTCAGATGCACCAAGAGCTCTTTGCATCTGACAAGTTAGGCATAACCATTCTTTAGCCTGAAGAAAAACAACAAATAGAAATTAGAAAACAAATTATTCACATCATGATCAATCCAAAAAAAAGTTTGACGTTTTGGTCACATGCATGAAGGTGAGAACTGGAGTGGAGCTGATTGGGAATCAGGCCTAATGCTGCATTGTAAGTTTTTGAAAGTTGAAATTTGAGACCTCCTCCTCTGTTTAAATTTGATTTTTCTAATTTGATGTAAATGAGCCCCCCCCCCCCCCCCCACACACACACACACACACACACACCTCCCAAAAAAGCATGTCTTCTCTGTCTAAAATATGAGCATTTTTCTCCTCAAAAGTGTCCTTTATCCCTGAGATGTAGGTGGACCACTGAGTCTTGTCCACAAGAAATAGCTCTTCATGTCCTGGATAACTGAGAATCTTGACCAACATGTTCACAAAATATTTATTTAAATACTGTATTGATGTGAAACAGAAATCTAAACCTATCTCATAATTTATAAATTTTTGTACAGGTAAGCAAATGTACTTTTTAATTTTTTTTTTAAATAAATCATTATTGTAATATTACTTCCATCAAGTAATTCATGTCATTGATTTGGACATTAATCAAAGATATTTAACTGCAGCTAAATTTTTGTGGACCATTCTTGGTTGGTTTAAAAATGACTGAAAATGAAAGAACGTGTTTGTGATTACCTCTGACTCATTTGGCATTGGATTAAATCCACACTGGTTACAGACAGTGTTCTTGCATTCTGTGCATTTGTTGTAGTTGGGAGGATCTTTTGAACCAAAGTTGAGTGCTGTCTTACAGAGCATACAGGTAGACTGGCCTGCCTTTGGAGCGTCTGAAGCCACTGGATCCTTCAGAGGCTCTCGTGGTCCTTTTTCTACTTTAGGTTGTAGCATTGGAGAGGTCTTGGGTTGTTGACTCTGCTGTGGTTTCTTTTCCTGCTCGTGTTTCTGAACAGAGGGTGATTTGGTTGTTCCCTTTGCAACTGGCATTTTAGGAGAAACAGGGGGCGTTGTTTTTGATTCATCTTGTCCAGCAGAAGTTATCATAGTAGACGCAGTACTAAAAATGGAAGAACCAAAGCCAAACATTTTTCCACCAAGTGATTCAGCAACTTTTGCACTATCAGACTGAGGTTTCTTCTCTGGTCCAGTTTTGCTTGTTTGGTCTGATGGTTTCTGGGGTCCTGACTTCTGACCTTGCTGTGGGATTTTCTGACCAGCATCTGAACTTCTAGACTCTTTATCACTTTCACCCTTTGCTGATGGCTCAGCTAGTTTGGAGGGTTTCCTTTGTGGGGAGCCTAATGGTGAGGCCTCCTTAGATTTTCCAGTTATTGAAATGTCTTTTTGTTGAGAGGGAGTTTCCTTCTTTTGGGCACTAGCAGCTTTATTTGGTACAGTCTGTAGGTTCATCTTGGGAGTTCCTGGAGGCTCAGATGCCCCCAGTGCTCTCTGCACCTGACAGTTGAGACATAACCACTCCACCTGCAATAGATCAGACATCGCACAGATAAAAAGTAGATCAGTATTGTTGTAGCTTAGAAAATTCAGGCTTATATTTATGAAACCCAAGTACAATCATTGCAGATAGATCTTTTTTGCAATTTATTCAACAAAACCCCCTGGCAAAAAAATATGGAGTCATTAATGATGTTCTTTCAGCCATTCAATTTTTTTTATAAACGATACATCAGAGATATGCCACAAAACTACCATTTTTCAAAATTCCAAACTGCTGGTATTAAACAACAAAACAAATAAATGTGATTGTTGTAGTCATCGAACAAAGATGGAATCACTTAAATTGAATAAAAAATTATGGAATCCTTTTTGAAAATTTCAGATCTTGAAAAAAATCACCTGCATCAGATTCATTCTGTTGCTTTGTCTTTGGTTAAAAAAAGAGCTCACACTTTGGAGAGCTTGTGCACAAAAGTCGAATGTCATAAATCATGGCTCCAACATTAAAGATGGCAGTTGAAATAAAAAGAGAGGATAGTGAAACATCTACACTGTATAAGAAGATAAATCATCACATAATGTTGTAAAAAATGTTGGTAGTTTCCCATCAGCTGTATCTAAAATCTAGATTAAGAACAAAAAAACGCAAATCGAAAGGTTGTCTGGTAGACCAAGGAAGACAAAAAAAGGTAGAAAACTTCAAGCAGTATTTCTCAAAAAACAGAAATTGCACAACTGAACTAATGGAAGTAGAAAATTGCCTAAAAGAAATGGGATATACTGTATATACAAAACAAGTCAAATGAAAGCCTTAATGAATGCCCAATCAGAAATTTATGAAGCTGACTGCCTGAAGAAAACGTGAAAATGTCCACGGTCATTGATGATATGGGCCTGGATGTCAATTGTACAGGGGAGATGGAAGTTATTACATCTTTAATAAATGCAACATTGTAATTTTTGGACACATTTCCGATGTCAGTTGAAAGGATGTTTGGTGATGATGACTTCATTTGTCAATATGATAATAAATTCTGCCATAGGGCATAGGATGTGAAAATGTTCTTTCAAGACATAAATTGTCAATGGCATGGCCTGCAAGTCTGGATCTCAATCTAGTTAAAAATATCTTGTTAACATTGAAGAAAATGGTCAATCACAAGACTTAATGCCTGATAAACTGATTGTGCAACAGGAAAAGAAGACCATTGGAGCCAGATTGATCAAGAGTATTGTTTTTTCATTAGCTAGGTCCATGACTCAGTTAATTCAAGCTGTTCTAAATACTTAAGATGGTGCATCAAAGTACCCATGGGTCAGTGTTTTTCTCATAAATCATATTTTTTCCTAAATTTGAGTGATTATATTTTTGTTCTTTATTTGATTAAAAAAAAAAAAAAAAAGCAATTCTGACTGGCTACAACAGTTGCATTTCTTCCTTTTTTATAGTTTTAGGGCATATATTGCATTTTTTTTTTTAAACAAAATAAACAACTGAAAGAACAACCTCCAAGAGTGGTGATCCAGTTAATTTGCCAGAGTTGCATTGTCTTACCTCCTGAACATTTGGCGTGGGATTAAATCCGCATTGATTACAAACAGTGCTTTTGCACTCAGTGCAAGTGTTGTAGTTAGGGGGCTCTTTAGAGCCCACGTTGAACTGTACTTTACACAGGGGGCAGGTTGCACCAACTTTCATAGAAACAACAGGTGAAGCTGAGGCTTTATTTGGCGGTTCGGTTGAAGCTTTTTCTGTTTTTGGCGCCACTGGAGTTGGACCCGTGGCTTGCTTTGGCTCCTGTGATTTCTTGTCTTGTTCTCGTTTCTTAACAGTGGGAGATATAGAGTCCTTTGCAGTTGACACCTTGGGCGACGCTGGAGGTGTAATTTTGGGCTCATCTTGAACAGCTGAAGTAATTAAAGTGGAAGCAGAGCTTAAAATAGAGCCAAAGCCAAACATTTTTCCAGTCATCGATTCTCCAGGTTTTGCGGCATCAGTTTTTCTAGAACCACCAAAACCAAAAAAACTTGCAGACTCTTGAGTTGTGGCAGTTTCCTGCTTTTGTGCAGTCAGAACTGTTTGCTTTGTTTGTTTCTGAGGCCCTGCCTTTTGTCCCTCCTTTGGTGTTTCCTGACCAGCAGCTGGCCTCACCTCTTTATTACTGTCTAGACCTTCAGCCTTGGCATGCTGCATTGGTGGTGTTGATACATTTTTCTGAGGAGAGCCTTGCACAGAAGTCTTTTGAGATGCGGACTGTGCTGCTGTTGATTTTTTAAATGAGCTAGCCGATGTGTCTTTCTGTGGTTCGCCTCCCCCAGCAGCTCGTTTCACCTGGCAGTTTAGACAAAGCCACTCGTTTCCCTTTAAAAGAAAACACATAAATCAGCTACGAATGAACTCTCTTGGATCAAATGCTCAAACATAAAACAGCCACACAGAGAAGCAATGAGAAGGGGTGACATTTTCTGTACACAACCACAAATACTTGTTAAAAATTATGTTATACAGTTGATGGACTGTACAGGGTTTCACTGATACAAATAAGAACAAGTCTTGGCTGATGATCCTTACATTATTTTAATGAGTTTATATATTGTAAGGAATATACCGGCTGGTAAAATTATATTTTATCCTATGCTAGATAAAAAAAAAAAAAATATGAAAATTTAGTTCATTTCAGCCATAATTTATAACAAAATAGAGGTACAAAATATTAGAATCTGCTCCAGCCTATTTTAAAACTTGCAATGCCATGGGAATGAAAGTAGAAGTAACAGTGATGCAGACCATGCATACAGTACATATACATATGGTACATACACATACATACATACATACATACAAAATTGCATTTAACATAATGCAAAGGTTTAGTAAAATGCAAACTTCATTTCTACTCCAAGCCTGGTCCAGTACTGTACTAGCAATTTTTGTAAGTGGCCCAACAAGATCAAATAGCCTTGGACTGTCCTTGGCAAGGTAGATACAAACTGTGCATTGAATTACAGGGTCAAGTGTCAAGTTCATTGTGCTTCAGGTAGCATTGAAGCTGCCACGTCTGTTTACTCTGCACATGGTATTCCCTACAATGTTCGTAAGTGTTGATGGGGACGAGGCATGTGAGTGTGTTAGCATATTGTGTGGTAGCTTGAAATTTTTTTCCCACCTAAACCAATCAGTGATAAACACAGAGTGAGAATTTAATAAGTTCTCTAAAAGCAGCAATCTTTTTTAACTTGGTGAAAAATGTTTCTTTAGGCAGGTTATAAGCCTCATTTAAAAAACAAATATAGTACTCCAAAAACATTAATTTGCATAATAGAGTGCGCCAACACAGGAACTGGCTCTTTAAAGGATTTGGGACAATGAACGCTCAAAACAAGAAATGTATCCAAATGAAGCAACAGCAGACATGTGTCCATAAAACTTTTAAACTGCTAATGGATTATTTGTTACAAGTGCTCATTTCAAATGCTTTATATGTTTTAAATTTTATCGCCATTCAGTACTTTTACAAATAACTGATTCAGGGAATAAAATCTTACCTCTTTAACATTTGGCATTGGGTTGAATCCACATTGATTACAGACTGTGCTTTTGCACTCAGTGCACGTGCTGTAGTTGGGAGGATCCTTTGAGCCCATGTTGAGCCCCATTTTACAGATTGGACAAGTAGATTGGCGTTGTTCAGGAGCATTGTGGGGGGTTGAAGCTGCCTTTGGAGCCTCTGCCAAGGACCTTCCCAATGCACCCTGGCCTGCTGATTGAGCTTTAACCTCCTGAGAAGGATGCTGCTTTTTTCCTTGCTCCGAGGTTTGGACAGTAGCTGCTTTAGTGTCCTTTGCAGGTTGCATTTTAGGAGAAACCGGTGGTGTGGTTTTCGGTTCATCCTGAACAGCCGATACTATCAAAGTAGATGCAGAGCTAAAAATTGAGGAACCAAAACCAAACATCTTCCCAGTTACTGACTCATCTGTCTTTGCAGGTTCCTTTTTAGCCCCACCGAAACCAAAAATTCCTCCTGAAGCCTGGTGGGTAGCAGAGGGGGCACCACTTTGTGTCTGTCCAGTTTGACTGCTCAGTTGTGGTTTTTGAGGTTCTGGTTTTCTCTGAGTCTCAGGTGTCATTTTCTTAGGAGATGCTGGACTGACATGCTTTAGCTTTTCTGGTCCCTTTTCAGCTTCATCCTTCGCTGGAGCTTTTATTGACTTCGACTGCATGTTTTGCGGTGAACCTGGTGCTGACCTTTCTTTTCTAATGGGTTCAGCAGGAGACGGGGTCTCGGTTCGTGGAGGAGAAATTTTGCTTGGCGAGGTCTTTTTTGCAGGAGGTCTTGGAGGCTCGATAGATCCTTGAGCTCTCTGTACTTGGCAGGTAAGACAAAGCCACTCGTGACCCTGCATGAAAAGACGCAAGCACATAATGAACAGAAGTAATAGCAAAGGAGAATAAAAAACACTATTTTAAAAACTAAGAAATGGCTTTTTTTTTTTTATAAATCTGAAAATGTATAACTAAATATATGTGAAAACAAGTCACCAAGAACACAACACTAAAATAGCAACACAAATAAGTATGATTATGGGATATTAAGGCAGTGATGGAAATGTTTTTTTTTTAAAGCATATTGGATACAGTGAAGGTTTAAATCAAACATTATCTGCTGTGAAGCATCATGTTAGTGAACATTTGTCACATTAAATTTCAAAAATAATCTTTTGAAAATATAAAATGAATAGAAAAGAGTCCATACTTACTTCAGAGTCTGGAGGGCTGAAGCCACACAAGCTGCACACCTCAGTTTTACACTGAGTACAGGTTTTATAATTGGGTGGCCCCTTGGCATGGATGTTGAGTTCAGCCATGTTACAGACTGGACAAAGGGTTTTAGAAACTGCTTTCTGAGATCTGGCTCTGGCTGCTCCCGGTGATGGAGACCCTGCTAGAGTCATGTCAGGTGTGCCTGGACCCTTACCACCTTGTTGTTTTTCAGAAGACTGGAGCTGAGGTGTGGCTCTGGTTCCTTTCTGCTGTTGTTCTGCCGGCTCCTGTTTTAGCTGTCCAATTTTTGGTGACTGCTGTTGTTGCTTTTCTGATTCTGACCCAACCCTTGTGGACCCCTGTACTCCCGTTTTTGTAGATTCTTGCTGTTGTGCACCAGTTTTAGCAGAGCCTTGTTGTACTTTTGTCTTCGGTGGAACCTGTTGTCTGTCTGGTGGTACTTTGGGAGATTCTGGTTGTGCTCCACTCTTAGCCACTTGCTGAGCTCCAGGCTTTGGTGAACCCTGCGGTGGTGGACCCTTGGGTTGTGTTTTGAGATTTTCTGTCACTCTACTTGAAGAAGCCTGTTGCTCTGAAGACTTGTTTGTGGGTCCAGTCTGTCCATTCCCCTGCAGCTGTGGGGAACCTTGTTGAGGATGAGGCTGGGACCTTTGCATAGAGGGGCCTTGGCTTGATTTTATGGGACCCTGCTCTTGAGTCTTCTTTCCATGAACGGCTCCAGTCTGCTGTTCTCCAGATGTTTTCCTTCCTTGCTGAGGAGATGTTTTTTTATCTCCTTCTCTATCATCTCCAAACAGGCCAAACTTGTTTACAGCAGAAGACACAGCATTTAGGGGGTTGGCCCCGCTAAGAAATTTGGACGAGAACATTTTGTCTTCCTCCTCCGCCTTGTGGTCGTCGTCGTCTTCACTGGAGCTGAAGTCTACAGGACTGTCAGAGTCAGAGCAGGAGCTGTCTCCTCTTTGTCCTGGCTCTCCAGTAGAGGCCTGGGCTGGAGCTGCACCTGTAGAGAGGGCATCTACAGCCTTCCTGCTGTTGCTGCTACTGCTACAGCTGCTGCTGCTGCTGCTCCCTGGGCTCTCCTCAGGCTCAGCATCCACATCAGATTTTCTAAACGCATAGACAAATGTAAGTTAAGGGTAATAAAAACAATAAAATAGAATAAAATAAAATCAAAAGCATTAGACAGAATGACAAGGACTTTGAAACAATCATACGTATAGTAGAATCAGAGTCATGTTGATTAACAAGAAGAAACAGCATCAAGTCTAATGAATGCAGGGAAACTGGATGTGGAGGAAACATAAAGTCACACATTCACTGATGAAGCACCGTGGGTTTTTCACCCTCAAGTAATCACGCATGACTCAAGACCATCAGTGCGTTACATAATGTGTGGTGAAGACTTCCTTTAAGAGAGGTACATCTGTATCTAAATGAATCCGTTTTAATTTGTGACACAACAATTAATGGTATGTGCTTTAATCTGGAAACATTCTCAATCACAGGACAAAAACAAAAAAGAACAAGCTATACAATATTTGTTCCATTCGCCTCCACTTTGGTTCTGTCTGGTCCGACTGTTGCTTTCAGGTCCAGGCACAGTGTCTGAGCCGCTCTACTGATTATGGACAAAACAGAAATTCTCTCCTTCCAGCAAGGGGATAAAGACTAATGTGCAACAAGGAGGAGGATTTTTGAGTCTAAAATAAATAAAATAGAAACGTTTCAAATTACAGTGCATGGACTTCACAGCTAACAATAATTAAATGTCCATCACCTTCAGTGAGGCCGATTGTCTAAAAAGTGTGTAATCTCATGCAGGACGTGTTTTACAGCAGGGAGACAAGGAAACAGGGAATCTAGCGCTCTCTGTGGAGAAACTGCAGGCACATCCGGGTAGGGGCCCACCAAATAACGCACGAACACTTTATAATACTCCACTCAAAATAAATCAGATACTCGAGGAGGGGGAAGCTAAATGAAGGCGACTGCAATCCGTGTTTGACAAACTACATCTGTAAATGTTACAGCTGTTCTCTCTTCTCTGTTACAGCTGTTCTCTCTTCTCTGCCCACATGCACAAGGCTGCAGAGGCGGATCTCCTGCATCCACGGCAGTTTGTGTGTGTGGAAAAAACAGGCAGCGTAAAGCCAGATCCATTCTACATTAGATATCAATCTGCAGAGGAGAGGAGGGGATGACAGATCCAAGCGGGGTCTGGGGGTGAAACACGTTTACGCATCCGTGTGCCCTTGACAAAACACCTGTTCGAATGTTTTTTTTTTTTTTTTTTACTCGTTTGTTTAAAACAGCGAGGAAACCAAGAGAAAAGCTGCTGTCACCGTTTGCAATTCCACGACACACCATCTCCGCGCCGTGTTTCCCACCTCCTCCTCCTCTCATTCCCTCCCATCCTGCAGCCGAGCATCCTTCACCCTCCACGGTCACAATGTCAAACACTGAGGCGCGGTTTCCCCGCGCGGGAACCCGAGCAATCCGTACCTTCATCAGCAGCTGATCTGTATCCCCATCCTCCTCCTCCTCAGAGCTCGTCGGATATCCCTGCCCAGCTCCGCGCGCCAGTCTACAGCCGACGGATGGAGGGCACGGGGCAGCAGATTGAGAGCGATCAGAGCGCACTCCGCCTCCCGCTCTAGTGCGCAGGCGCCGCATCTGACAGGTGATCACAATATATATCACGCACGGAAATTGGAATTAAAAGAGACATGCGGGCTTTTTTTTTTTTCTTTTTTTTTTTTTTTTTTCCCACGGAGTCGTGCGTGATCAGCGACGAATAAGCCTGAAGGTTTCCCTCATCCGCGTGAACGTTATTGCGCATTTTCCGAATGTGATCATGAGCAGTGCTGGAGCCACTTGCTAAGGGAAAAGGCCAAGAACTGAGAGCAACATCACAGATGTTCAAATACTGTTGGTTTGGAGCTGCACATCTGAGAGTGATGATTTTAAATCCACATATAATCTTAAAATAAACCTGCTGCTTTTCAGTCATGGCTGCTGTCCGTTTTTGCACCTGTCTCTTGTTTGTTAGATGTTGGATGTTTAGTTAATGAAGAGGTCGTTTGACTCCCTCATGTGATAAAATATATATATAAAAATTGAGCATGCATCAGAATATATAAAAATATATAACGATATATAACACATTCTCATTTATCTTAAGTGATAGTTTGGACATTTTGAAGTTGGGTTCTGGCAAAAAGTTAAACAATATCTTACCTGTTGTCATGTTAGACCACCCCGAACCGGGTGGTTAGACATGGGCACCAGTGACCCCCATAACCCGGAAAGAAAGAAGCGGATAAAAATGATGGATGGATGAATGGATGGATGGATGGATGGATGGATGCCTTCTCAGAACAACTTTATTCTAAAAAAATGTTCTAGCAGGTTATGGTTGGTTGACACCGTTTTGTTAAAGAATTGTTGGTTTTATTTTGTTTTCTTTTTTTCCAAGTGCAAACTAACTAATGCATGTCTGGTGCAGCTTATGAGATGCATGGATATATAATGAACTGATGACAATACAGTGTTTTGAAACCACTGTAATATGTTGGAGACTGAACTTGTTTTAGTATGGCCAAAATCCACTCTGAGCTTGGACTTGCAAGGACTAACCATTAGCTTGTCAATTTAGTCTGAATTAACTTGTATTTATCCAAACTGAGGCCCTTCAAATAGTTATTTACAACTCGTACATTTTTATTTACCCTCACTTCAAAAGATCTGTCACATTCCTTTAACACCCCTTAGTTTTTCTGGAAGACGGAGGACACACCTAAGCTGAAACAAAATCTTTGTGTATAAGCAACTCCTTCATGTGTGTCAGTTTGACTCATTTAAAGAATCTCCCTGTTTTGAAGATCAGGTAATACATCTGACTAAAATATTGATCACAAGTGATAGATTCTTTATTTATTGGAACAACTATTTATTTGGTTTTCTATCTTTTCACCCAAACATTTATTTTCTTAGGAAGCCAAGTTAAAAGTAGGACATTTGGGTTCGTTTTGCACAACAAACACAGGCATGAAGCTTAATTCTGTGTAACTTTGTTTTCTCTCCATCATTTGGCACTAAGAGTTTATTTAGAGCAGATGTAACATAAATTGGAAAGGATGATGAGTTTATTATGTGTAGCACTTATTTTGAATAGAGATGAATTTTCTGGCATTTTTTTAAATCTCAAAATTAGACTCATTTACATTTCATGATCAGAATGTCAATATTAATCAGATCAAAATAGGTAAAGCATCAGAAAATGGGGTTCATCATTTTGATGTTTAATTTTTTTTTTTTTTTTACTGCTTTAGAATTAACTATATGGGGCAGTATACGATTAAAGTCAGTATGAAGAAATTCTTGCAACTTGACAAATACAACCTCACTCTTTGCACAGCACTTCTACACAAAAAGAGAATTCATGAACATTAGAACAGAGCTGCCAGGTTTTGACTTGTCCCCACACCAACATACAAACCGAGCTGATGAGTGGAAAGCGTGAGTGAGATGTGTGGGAATAATAGAGAGCAAGTGTTGTGTGGGTGTGTGGAACAGTTACGTCATCTGTGATGTGTGAGCAGCAGAATTGCCACGGCGCCTTCTCTCTATGGGAAGCACCAGATTTGGCTCCTCTGAATGCAAACACACACACACACACTCACACACACACACAATATTCATCAGTGCAACCTCCATCTGGGGATATAAGTTGCAACTTTGCTGTGGGCTTGTACATTGTCTAGAAATCCACCCAGTAGCCTAATCTTTGATTACTTATTTCTTCCTCATCTTCATATTTGGCAGCTTTTTCATGTGAATCTTCCAGTTTTATATATTTATTTATTTGTTTTATTTGTGGTGTATCAGAACAAAGCTCCTAGTCGTGCATGCCTTTACTTGTCAGTATTATGCTCAATTCTGGTAAGAAACAATATGTCTACTGAAAAAATACTTTTTTTTTTGTAATAAAGCACACACCAGTAATACCTGTTTTTAGATTCCCAGCTTATGATCAATATGTTTTTGCCTTTATTTTGTTTGTGTTGAGTTTCAGGTTTTATTTCAGTCAACAGTAATATTTAACGTTTTAGGACAGCAAGCAACCACCAGATGTGGTACCCGGATTTTATTTTCATATAACCTCTTACTTGTAAAGTTTAATACAATAATCACAAGTACCAGTGTTATTTTCATTTTTTTTTTTTTTTTTTTCATTTTTAATTCTAATTACTTTTCTGATAAAATCTAGAGCAGACCCAAATCCTGCACTCAGGAAGTCAAAACTTAGATTTATGAGTTAGTTTAGAGGTTTTTAAAGTGGGATTTTGTCAACTAGTTAAAAGTCAAGTCTAATTTATTTATGAAGCACATTTAAAACAGCAGCTGTTTTAAATGATGTTATTCTATTACTGACAACAGTCACATTAATTTCAATTTAGAGAATTAGAAATAAAATCTCATGGTGGGAGAGTAAACCTAATTGACCCTTATCAGGAACAATTTTCTAAATAAGCCATCCATCCATTATCTTTACTTGCTTCTTCCTTTCTGGGTCGCAAGGGTCGCTGGTACCCAAATCCAGCTATCACTGTGTGAGAGGTGGGGACACCCTGGACTCTGATGTCACGTGCGCTGCAGAATGGTATTTAATGGCAGCTCCACTTCGACTGGATCTTTTTATGCTCTTGTTGCTTTTGCTTTAACGTTTTTTTTTTTGTGTGCCTACAATGCACATCCACGGTACGAGTATGACCACTTTGCACTTGTGGAGTTTTCTGTGTCGCTGCCTTGCCATCCTCCCATCATGGTTCAGTCCTTCCAACCTCGAGCTCAGGCCTGTCATGGTGGCTGTCTCCATGATCCTCCATCTGTCTGCAATGACCCAACTCTACAGGCCTGTTTGGTTCCGCGAGGAAACCTTGGATGTTCTCTGTCTGCTGGGCCCGGCTCTGGGGGGCAGTCTGGGAGGACAGCTGCTGTGATCATTGTTACCATCAAGCTGCTGATGGGACCTGCTAACAAAACCTGCTAATTCAGCTAACAAGATCCTCCATCTGCCTGATCGGACCAAACTCTATGGACCAGTTTGGTTTCGCGGAGAAACCTTGGATGTTCTCTGTCTGCCAGACCCGGTTCTGGATTGTTGTCTGAGAGGGCAGCTGCTACGGTCCTTGTTATCATCATTCTGCTAATGGGACCTACAAACAAGACCTGCTAACGCTGCTAACAAGACCATGTCGCTAACAGTACCATGGTGCCAATGAGACCATGTTGAGAAACTTCACCGCTAACAGAACCTCACTGCTAACAGTATCATGCTGCCAACAGGACCATGCTATTAAGATAACCTCACTGTCATCACTGTCATCAGAACCACGCTGCCATTAGGACCATTCTGCTGTAGATTTATTTATTTTTCACTTTTGGTGCCTTGTTTTTGTTGCATGCTTTGGTATTTGTTGTTGCCGTTTTGTTTCGTGTTTTTTTGGCAAGTCGAGGCAGTTCTTCTCGTCCTGAGCATTTTATTGCATTGCTGACCTTGTGTTGATTTTGCATATGACAAATAAACCAAACCTGGACAGGTCTCCAGTCCATCACAGGGACACAGAGACAAACAGGACAAACAACCATTCACTCTCTCACTCACATCTAGGGACAATTCAGAGTTCCCAATCAGCCTAATATGCATGTTTTTATTCTGTGAGAGGAAACCGAAGTACCCAGAGAAAACACATGCATGCACAAAGAGAACATGCTAACTTCACCCAGCAAGGCCCCCGGCCAGGATTTGAACCGGGGCGACCTACTCGCTGAGAAACAGCAGCTCTACCAACTGTGCCACCGTGATGCCGTTCTAGATAAACCATTCAACTTAAATAAAACAAAGCCATCAAGCAAACATAATCTAGTGGATTTATAAATGCATTTATGTGCAAAGATTATTTATAATTAACATGAACTGTTTTTGTGACATGCTTTACACAAAATGTGCTGCATTGAACCCAAAACCATGTTCCAACACTGCTACAGTCTACAGCACACAGACAGAGACATGCATGTAAATATCACACTGACACAACAGTGTTATGGTATTAAGACATTAATTAAAGCATTCATTGAACCACTGTGAAATTTTTAGGGTTGAGTAAAGTAGATAACAGCAATTCATTCCAAAAAGAGCTCTCTTCTGAACGATGGATAGTTCAAATTCTGTACGAAAATTTCTTCCCAATTTTCTAAACTGGGATTGTTCTGACTGGTGTCTACTGCAAGTGAGATCCTCAACTAAAACCAACTTTAAAACTTCTGGACAATTCTTGTATGCTTCTTTTATTCATTTGTATAGTATATCAGTGGACCCTGAAATAAATGGCATGCTTCTTTGTGTATTGAGGAGTTAAAATGATACAAGGATGCTTAGTTGTGAAGTTTGCATCTTTTTACATTTAAAGACTTTTTGTGTGTATACTGTTCCATTTGAACAGATACTTTTACCACAACAAAATTTGATACAGTTGATCAATAATATTCTATTTCAGAGGCTTGAATATGATATTGGAATTACAGGAACGGCTCTAAAATGGTTTAAATCATATCTATCTGATATAGTCCAATTTGTAAATG